TTTGATAAAAAAATGATTTTTTAGGAAACAATTTTTTTTCCCTTTTTTTTCTTACTTTTTGGCAATGGAAACAAATTTTATAACCAATTGTGGAAAAAAAATCACTTTAATGGATAATATCCATATAAAACAAAGACAAACGAATAGAAAATTTAAAAAATTTTAGGGTGAAAAATTATACCAATCAAACACACTTGAAATCATTTTCCATGCAAAACATTTTCTAGACAAATCTTTTCCTGTAAAACATTTTATTTCCACCCATTTTCCACCTTTGCAATCAAACGCACCCTTAATTAACAATTCTCTGGAAAACAATTTCTAAACAATTATTTTCCCTTTAATTCATTTTCTTTCAACCCATTTCCACCCTTGTAATCAAACAGATCCTTAGAGATTTTCCATTCTTAATTCATTGAAGATAATTCTTGTGAATGGGCCAATTGAAACACGTGTTTATAGGGAAATGTCTAGGTTGAGCCTGACCTCAAGACCAAGTTCTATTGTGGTTCGAAGTATGGCAACATTGTACTTGGTCATTCCGAACCAGCTCATTTTACAACTCTAATCGAAATATCTTGGGAGTTTGCCAATTTTGTGTGACATGTGTTGATCAGAACCTGAATAATAAAGTCCTATTACTGCATCCACTATTAATGTGGAGAAATTTGGTGGTCTCTACTCCTTCCCATAAACAATCCAGATTGTAGAATTCATAGAACTAATTTCATTATATCTAAACTAGAAATTTGTCCAACTATATTACAACTTTCAATTCACGTTAAACTATATTACAACTTTCACTTCACGTCACAATTTGGCTTTGTTTTGGGACCAAAGATTTCTCTCACTGCACATGTATGCTATGAAGGAACGAAAAGTCTAAAATCTTGTCTATTATGTATTTGTGGTTGGCCCCCATTCTATACCAATTTTTTCAAGTTAGACAAAAAGGATGGTTCCTCTGACAATTCACAATTGTTGAGGCCACACATCAAATAGCCATTAAGATGCATTTTGGAATTTTTAACCTTCCATTTCTGCCCTTCAATTTATGGTTGGTGAGAATGGAATGGTAGGATTAAAATGGTGAAGGGCAATGTTGTAAATTTCCAATTGCATCTGAGGGCAAAATAGTCCATGAAGGCTCAATGGCATTATCCACTTTATATCCATCCTGACTTCTTGTAACGTGTTATCAGGCATGTATTATAGGAAAATGAGATGTGATAAAAAAAAAACCTCATTAAAATGAGTATCAAACGGTGGCTATACTATCCCGTATGGACTAAAGTACAGATTGAATGGCGAGCTTAGCTGCAACCGTGGAGATATTATTTTTAACCAATTCTATAGATTTGTTCAGTCTTTCTAGGGTATCTTTCATTTCCATTGCTGTAACCTTCTCTTTTTGTAACTTCAGCCACTCTAATTTAGTTCCACCTGCCATCAGAGGGAGACAAAACAAGCAAACTACGATTAAAGTACAACAACGAACTGAGTCTTGTTCCGTATTGCTGCATATGCATGCTGTAAATATAATCTCGACTTGAAGCAAAATATGGGAAGATGTGGTTATCTGTACTAAAAGATATATCATATTACAGTTACTGTGCGATTTTAACCCCCAGTTTGTCTATGAATGAATAATTTCAGACATCCATGTATTAAATGATGACTGTTCAATACTAAAAAGCAATTTCCAAAAGTTTTGAGGGAACTCAATACCCAGTACTTGACTAGACTAAAAGCCAACACCATTTTACAATGAAACTAGACGATTTACCTGAAACCGCTTGAAGTGCTGAAAAGGAAACACGTTCAGCCACAGATGGAATGAATGCATCATCACAGTCCAGGTCCGGTGCCGTTTCAGCCCAAATCAGAGAATTTGCTGTCTGAGTCTGCATCAATGCCTCCTGAGGGACCTATTATTGTTATATGACTACAACATTAAAATAAATGCTTTGGTTCGATTAACTCCATTAACTGAAGGCAATATCCTCTATCAAGTAAATATGATCGTGTCATTCAAAGAAATGCTTATGATACAAAAATAGATAAATAAAACACTTCCTTAGTTTTCAGTTAGTCGTTCTCTCTCTGTTTTGGGTAGTTTCAAAATTCTGGCCATTTTCCAAAAGTAAATACTCTCTTTCCAGATTAACCCATACAAATAGAGTAATTTATACTCAAGAAATTGTTTTTGGTAATATCTAAAGAGAGTTAATCAGATGAAAGGCCACTTGCCTTGTCTATTGGACCACAATGGAAACCCTTACGCCTTCCCCCACAAAAAATGAACAATAGGATCCTTTAGTGGTAGCACAATGATTAACCATCCACAAACCAAAAAAGAAAACAGGATCCTTTACACAGACAGCCCCTTTAAGTTTCCTGTTGGTGCTTGATTAGGGCATTAGCCAATTCCAGAAGTTGGTTTTGGCACGAAAAAGGAGTGGCATAATATATCGGCCGTATTCACCTCAAACGCAGCGAGTGTTATGAAAGTGCTGCAATGTTTCTATAGAATGAGGGGAGATAATTAAAATACAGTGATAGTTTTAGGGCCAAAGTGCATTCTGTCTGCTTCACATAGCTTCACATTGTATAGCTTCGCACACAAGTTTCTGCACTTTCTCTAATTAATATATATGTATATAGAATATGTGTAGTGCTCATAGTATGTTTGCATTTACTTCACAAATCATAATCAATGATGGTATAAGATGATTTCAGAGGCATGTCGTGTGTCACACCCCCAGGCCATGGGAGAAGACTCCCAAACAAGATCAACTGCTCAAATGACTCGTCCAAGTTAATGATGCAACGTGGGAAGTATATTCTAGGCGCAGAAGAAATCAAATCAATTAGGATTTTATAGTATTTTCCTTATTAATTATTATTGCATTTTATTGTAACTTCAAGAAAATTGATTCCGTTTCCTTTATGAGGAAACCCTAGTTTTCCTTAGTAATCCTGGATTAGACTCTATATGAAGAGGCTATTTGATTGTAATAGACACATCTTGAATGATGAATACAACTACAATCTTCCTCTTATTTCTCTTCTCCTCTCTCTCTTATTCTTGATTGTTCTTTGTTCATTGAAATCGTCATCAGTTAACTTAGAAGGTAGAAATCTATGGTAGTATGGTCACTTAATATGTTACAAATCTCTTATCCAACCAAGATGGGTAGTATAATCTCCTTCTATTAGTAGCAACGTCCTTGTACCTATATCTTCCACAATCTAAATCTGTCTGTACACATCCAGTCAGACTCTCTTTGCCAATAATAACACCTTGGCTGTCTGAAATCACCTGCCACATCCTGAGACATGGAAGGATCAGCAAGTGAGACGCACTATATTTATTCACCAAATAAAATATTTGGACTTATATTCCATTGGCACAAAATGAATGGTCCAATCTAACATAGGAGTCCCCAATGCAACTTACAGAGGTCCCAAATCTCTTCTCCCACCTATGTGGTAAACTGCATCATGGGTCTAATGATGCAAGGTAAACTATAAACTGAAACACCATATATAGATTTGAAATTCATTCAATTATCGGGAATCATAGAATGTCAAAAGAACATTTAATCCTGCTCCACAGGTTTTCCTGTAAAGTGGAGCTACTTTTCAGCTAGACATGTTAATAGTGTAAAGTATTTAAGACAGTAAGCAGAGAGAAAAAGCCCCATGCACACATCACTGCACTTACAAACGCACAAGTCAAAGAGCATGAAGACATACACAGACAAAGCGTAGACAAACAGACCATATAAATACATGTGTAGAGAGAGAGAGAGAGAGAGAGAGAGAGAGAGAGAGAGAGAGAGAGAGAGAGAGAGAGAGGAACCTCGCTGAGATAGCGCGTGTGGGGATG